ATTGAATATGTCAATGCTGTTGTAATGAAATGCTTCTTCTAAGTATGTGGTTATTAAATAAATAATTTTTTAAAAAATAAAAAAATAAAAATGAACCTACTACATGACCCAGTTATTCCACTCCGTGGCATATACCCAAAGGACTCATCCTATTGTAGACACACTTGTATAACCATGTTTGTTGCTGCTCTTTTCACAATAACTAAGAGATGGAAGCAACCTAAGTGCCCCCCAACTGATGAGTGGTTAACAAAAATGTGATATATTTACAGTGGAGTCCTATTCAGCAGTAAAGAAAGATGAAATAGTGAAATTTTCAGGTAAATGGATGGATTTAGAAACTGTTATACTAAGTGAAGTATCACAGACTCAGAAAAATAAACAATGTATGTTCTCCCTCATATGTGGATCCTAGCACCAAATCCTTTTAAATTCCATGTTCTTTTAACAAGTTTTTTAAACTAAGTCATCATTACATGGAATGTCTAAAACAAAAACAAAGCCTAATATGAAGTACACACAGTTTTCACAAAGATACATATCAAAGATTTTACCCTAAGTCTGCTTGACATTTATGACTCAAGAAGCTGCCTAAAAAAAAGTATCCTAACTTAGAACACTGTAAAACATGCTCAAAGAAATGCAAGTCATAATCAACCTCAAAGTTGCAAATTTAAAAGAAAAACTAGTGTTTATTCCACAGTAAATTGTGAAATCATACTGAAAATGCTTCATAGTTGATGAGAAGTATAAACACATATACATGAAGGGCTCTAACAGTCAAGTATATAAACACATCAGTTCATTTCTTACGGATGGAAGGCACTTTCTCCTAACTTCATTCTCAGCTGACATAAGCAGCAGCTCCAGTTCCTTTATTTTCTTTTCCTTATCAGGATCTTCATCAACAAAAGGTTGCTAAAATAAGTTAAGCAAAAGAGAAAACAACTTATACAACTGCTTTAAAATAGTGTTTTCATTTTTATTTTCTTCTGTGCAACCTACAATAAAGCTTATGGCTGTTAAATTCTTAATCCTATCAAATATGTCATAACCTGAAATTTAAAACTGGAAATATTTTCCATTTAATAGAAAAAGATTTGGGGAAATGTGGCATATACCTATAATCTCCACACTCTAGAAGCAGAAAGAAAAGATGATTGCAAGTCTGAGGCCAGTCTGAACTACATGGTTAACACCCTGTCTCAAAAAAAAAAAAGAGAGAATTATCAAAAATAGAGCTGAGGGTATAGTTCTGTTGGTGGAGTACTTTGCCTAGTATGCACAAAGCCCTGGGCACCACTCCCAGCACCACATAAAACCGGGCAAGGTGACATACAACTGTAATCCCAGCACTGGGGAGGTAGAGACAGGAAGACCAGAAGTTCAAGGGCATCCTCTGTTTGGAGTGGTTAAGGAACCTTTAGGAAGTGTAGCCTTACTGGAGGAAGTATATCACTAGGGGCAGGCTTTGTGAGTATAAGCCTTGCCCCACTAACAGTTCCAGCTCCCTGCTTCCTCTGTGTGGCTGAGATGGCCATGCTTCCCCTCCATTACAGAAACTCCCTCTGGAACCATAGTCAAAATAAACTCATAAATTGCTTTAGGTCAAGATATTTTATCACAGCAAGCAAAAGTAACTAATACAGCTACATATCAAGTTCAAGCCCAGTGTAGGTATATGATGCTATCTCAAAAACAAAACAAAACCCTAAAAACTTATCAAAAACGCATGTCCAGAATATTTTTGTTTATTAAACTATAATATATTCTACCCAATTCAGCAAATTTTTCAATTATTTAAGTTCCAAGACTGAACAAATCACTACACAGGTGCTGCCAATCACTTCATATTTTTGCAGTTTATATTCTTCAACCCATTTGTACCTTTTCCTTTAGTTTTATAATACTCAAAGCAAAAAGGCAGCAATATTTTTTATCCTAGTTTAACAGACAAGAAAATGGGCACTATTCAGCTTCTAAAACTAAGCTGAAAGTTTGGGGGGGCAGGGGGGTTGTGACACAGTCTTGCTACATAGCCCAGACTAGCCTCAAACTCACAATTCTCCTGCCTTAGCCTCCCAAGTGCTGTGATCACAGGCTGTACCCTATCACCAGGTTTCCCTTTTTTTCATTTTGTTTGTTTTTTGTGTTTTTCTGTTGTTTTTCTTTTTTTTTTTTTTTTTTTTTTTTTTTTTTTTTTTTTTGGATGCAGCCCCAGCTATCCTGGAACTCACTATGTAGACCAGGCTTTTGAGAGAAGGTCTTATTCTGTGGCTCTAACTAAACTGGTACTTTCTATGTAACCCTGCCTGTCTTAAACTTGTGGCAACCTTCCTGCCTTAGCTTCCTAAGAGCTGGGATTACAGGTGAGCACCATGATGCCCAGCTCATCCTTTGTTTTTCTGATACAAATAAAACTTACCTGAATAAAGGCAGAAGTCTGAACATGTTCAACACAATTGTCATCAGGTGATACATATTGATAACCAGGGATCTGCAAAGTAAGTAAAGTACTATTATCCTACATATAATACACATTTTCTTAAAATCTAAAACCAGGAAAACTTGTGATAAAATGTCAACATTAAAAAAGTAGAAAGTGCCTAATAATTTTGAAAATTAACAATTGCAATAGTTTATTACCTAATAACTGTATCATCTGTCTCTAGAATCTACCAATACAGTCATAAAACACTGGAAAAACCCTACATTTTATGTTTGTTTTATTTGGTTTTGTTTACTGGTTTTTGTGAGATAAGATCTCATTATGCAGTCCAAGCTGACCTGGAGCTAACCATGTAGGTGAGGCTGGTCTCAAACTTGTGATCCTCCTGCCTCAGCTACCCCAGTGCTGAAATTACAGGTGTGCACCACCACACCCAGCTTCTGAGCCTAGTTCTATTAGTCAATCAGTCTCTTACATTATCCACCATGTATTTTAAAAAAGTCTGCCATAGAGGGTTGCTCTATTTTTTAGAAAAGACAATAAACTGTGTTCCTATAAGTATCACCACCCTATGCCAATGTCTAAGTGAAAAGATAAGAAAAAAGGGCTGCTTTTATACTTACAATAGAAAAACAATCAAAATCACTCATGTATTTTAATAAGACACTGACAATTCACTAAGCATCATTCTGCCTTATTTCTAAAGCATCTGTAGTAAGAATTATGAAATTGTATGTGAATTTAGTAAGCACTAGTAAAAAGAAATAGAGAAGGTATTTGTAAAACTCTGAAAATCAAATAAATATGAATTGCCTACTTTCTATAATGGCCTACCTAAAACACTATCTAATGAAAAAATATTACATATAAGTTCTAACATAGAACTTAATTATGATATCTGAGTATCACCTATCACTCAACTTGGTAACTTCAATAAATGAGAAACTTATCTTTCTCAATCTTTTCATGAAAATCTGCCACAGTTTTTCAAACCATTTTTTCTTTATGTCACACTTTATAAGTAAAATTAGAATTAGTTTCTTACTAGTTTAAATGTAAATATATAAAGCTTTCTAAAATTATTAAAGGGGAAACAGTTTTTAAAATATAAGAAATATCCTTATCTTTCCAACATATTTGGATTGAGACTGTCAAATACTCCTCTGGCAACAAGTAATTTTTAAAATTATCTTTCTATAAATGAAGAAACTTTAAATGGTAACCTTCCTAAGACAGAAATAGAATGATGCAGTTTATAGTGCTGAAACCTAGGACAGGACTCTGAAGGAAAATGTTAATAAACGTTAAAAACCTTGAGGTTGAGCATCAGCAGATAACTATTATCTTCTCTTTTCTATTCATAGACTAAGATGTAACTACTCTAAGTCGTTCTTTTAAAAGAATAACTTTTAAAACTTATTAATGTTCATAAAAAGTAAAATGAAATTAAATCTAAGGCATGTTAAGCATAGACTTTTAACATCTTGCCCAATTTTATCTTTTGGTAGATTTTACAGGTCTTAACAGTCTTTACACTTTATATGAAAAGAACCAAGAATTGCTCATCATAAATCTATAACATAATAGATAGCTAGGAAAAGGTAAACCAAGTTTTATGAAAAATCCTAAACAATTTTTTTTTCTTTTGAGACAAGGTCTCCCTGTGTGGCACTGGCTAGCCGAACTCTCTATGTAGACTAGACTGGCCTTGAACTCACAGAGATCCACCTGCTTCTGCCTCCCAAGTGCTGGGACTAAAGATGTGCACCACCATGCCTGGCCTAAACAAATTTATTTCAGATAGGAAAATGTACATTGTAAGGGACAACACAGAGCATACCCCATTTTGAGCCTGGGAAATCTCTAATGACAGAATGAAGTCTGAAATGACCCAAATAAAAAGCAAAGTTGAATAAGATCAAAGAACAACTATTTACTGTCTCCCAAAAGAATGTTAAATGATATTTTTGCTATTTCTTCTCTAAATCATTTTATACATACCTATGAGATAGGCAATACTACAATTATATAGAACATCATTTGAGTGAAAGCTACAACAGATATTAAAGTACATGTTTAGATGTCAAAGGAATGAATGCAAAGAATTAAAGGCATTAGTCAAGAGCACATACTTCATTTCTTAATGTGAAAATCACATATAAAAGGAAGTATTTTAATGAAGTTTTTACTGACATATTTGTCAAAATTATGGCATACTTTTTAAGTTTGTAAATTTAAATGTCTATCTGCATCCCTGCCCCCCATATGAACTTTTACTTGTCCTAAGAAATCAAGAACCTTTCCTATACAGCTACTAAAGAAATTGTTTTTAAATAATAAAGGTATTAAAATATATGTGCCTGAACAGGTATGTAAAACTGATTCTGGGTTTGCAAATGGTCCATAGTTGCACAAGGTTTGAGTTGAAGTTTTGATGAAGATCGTTCTGATTTTATTCCATCTTGTAAGTAGCCTTCCTGTTCCACTTTTCTTCGCATAGTAGAATTCCAATGATTTTTAATAGAATTATCGGTCCTAAGAAATGAAAATGTATAAATTTTAAAAGGAAATTTAAAAAGGATTCTACAGATTTTAATACTGCATAACTTGCACAAAATACATAAAACACATTTTCACAACTGGTAATATTAGACACCTAAAAAATTCTAAAGATAAGCTGTGTTTCTGTGGTAGGCATAGCTCTAAGCACCAGAGATATTACAGTGAATAAGACAAAGTTCTTGCTTTCATGGAACTTGAATTCTCACTGAAGGCATGGCAACAGGTACAGAAGACCACAAAAATACCATTGCAATGTGGATCATGGAAACAGGATGAGAAGTGAGTAGGGTAATTTCAGTTAGATGGCCCAGGAAGGCCTCTGGTGAGGTGACAGTGAAGCTAAAGATCTAAATGACAAGAACGAACCAGTATTACAAGAACAGGAATAAAGTCATGCATAGTATCACCAGTCCCAGCACTTAGGAGGCAAAGACAGGAGGATGTGGGAATTTGAGACCAGCCTGGGCCATGTAGTAAGAACCTGTCTCAAAAACAAAATTCCAGACAAAAGGTATACCAGGTACAAAGACTGTAAGGCAGGAAAAAAAAAAAACATGGTCAAGAAAAGCAAAATGTAGGGCTAGAGATAGAGCTCAGTGTTAAGAGTGCCTGTCTAGTTGTCTCTCATGAGTGAGGTTGTGGGTGCATCTTCAGTACTACAAATTACGGATTCCAAGAATTCTATTATTACTTCTTAGAATAAAATATTTATACAAAAAGAGTTCACTGGCCCCCTTTTTCCCTAAGTTACCTTTTATAACATGTAAATCTTCAACTTAGAGCTATTTTTTCTTGTCTTTTTGTTGATTGCTTTTTGATAGGGTCCCCCTAGTCATAGCCCACCTGGAAGTCACAATGTGAACCAGGATGGCCTTGATCTCACAGAGATCCACTTGCCTCTGCCTCCCGAGGGCTGGGATTAAAGGCGCAAGTCACAACACCCAGTGCTACTTAGAGGTATTTATAGTATAAATTCCATCTGCATAAATATACACTTACTGAAAACCTACTCTGTTAAAGCAATAAGCTAGGTTCTACACGAAGTAAAAAGATGTGGGGCTGGAGAGATGGCTCAGCAGTTAAGAGCACTGACTGCTCTTGCAGAGGACCTAGGTTTGATTTCCAGCACCCACATGGCAGCTAGCAGCTGTCCATAACTCCAGTTCCAGGGGAATCCAATGCCTTCTTCTGACCTCCACAGGCATTGCATGACACGGATGCACTTACACACATGCAGACAATACACTCATACACATAAAATAAAAATAAATAATTTTTTTAAAAAGTAAAAAGATGTATAAGACACTGAAAATATCAGAAGTCTATATTCCAGGGTCAGTAACTTGGATTAAAAAATGTAATATTGTGCCTTAATTTCCTGTGAAACAAAAACATTGTTTGCTTTGCATATTTCCAAAGTATATAAAGATGAACTAGGAATGCATATAAAAGCAGTTTAGACACTATGAAGTACCATATAGAGATTATAGCAATAAAACACAAGTGTGTATATTCTGAAGATATGAAATTGCCCAAAGTTGTTGGTCTGCTGTACTGAAGACTATTAGGAAATATTTGAGCCAGTATAATGAAGAGTATGCTTAGTACATCTGAAAAGTACATTACTTAATATACTTCTCTGAAAGAAATGCTATATTTCAGTTACAGAGATTCAACTATTCCCATGTTTTAAAGTATACTATGAATAAGAATTGAATTTTCCTATCACACTTTCACAGTAGCTTACTTCAGCCAGTATAGGTACAATTCCCTAGTCTTCTGCACAGTATCAAATATAAAAGAAATCTCTAATTTAGATTCCATTTCAACCATTTGTATAGCAAGGCTCTGCCTAATTGGCAATGATATGTAAACATGACTTTTGGAGTATATTAAATGCTTACATAGTTCTAAAGATCTATCATTTCATTCTAAAACTAATCAATTCCTAACTGCAGAATTTATTACAAATGGTCCCAGATGGATACTTTCCTATGTAGTCTAAATTTTAATTTTAAATAACAGTCAGAGGGTACTTGCAAATATATTCAATAGTAAGGTAATAAAGATCATGTTTTAGCACAGAAAAATGTATATATATTATTTAAGCACCTTCCAGGAAGTAGTTTGGCAATTTCTGCCCAACGATTTCCCAACCGCTTATGTGCTTCATAGATGATCCTGTCTTCTTCTTCTGTCCAAGAAGATTTCTTGACCTCAGGGTTCAGATGATTATGCCATCTTTCTCTACACTGCTTGCCGATTCTTCCTTTTAAATGTTTTGCAATTAAAGACCACCTTTTTGGTCCATATTTCTGAACTAATTCAATAACCTAAGAAGCAAAAGCAAAGGTTGAAAAAGCATTACCTCAAGAGAATTTAGAAATGTAACTCAAGAATATTAAGGTTGGGGTTATTCTCAACCATACATTTGCCTAGCATGCAAAAAACCCTGGGTTTGATCCCCAGCATCTCAAAAACAAAACAAACAAACAAACAAAAAACACAACCCCGTCACTAAGAGTGTCATTTTAAATAAATTCATTAAATTTTAGCCACAACTATAATTAAAAAAATAATTTTAATAGCTAATCCTTGAGCATTTGACAAATTCAAAAATCAATACCCAATGCATCAAAAACCCAAGGGACTCATAAGTGACTGATAAGTTAAAACCACTTTCATACACATTAACTTAGAATAACTATAGAAATTTTTGAGATTTGAGATGTGTCTTTACTACTCTTACATCTTTCAAAAAGAAAAGAAAAGTGAATGAAAAAAAAGAGAAAAGCTTCAGCAAAAAGTTAAATAAATCAATTGGAAGCAGGAAAGATAAACAGTGGCTTTTTACATCCTCCTTTCTGAAATTGAAAAAATACAGATCACACATTCTTTTTGCCACATTTCAAGTTTGCTTAGATTTTACCTAAAACTACAGGAATATTTCATCTCCTCAGCATACTTCACTGCCACTTTTGCCCCACTGTCGAAAAGCACACCATAACCATACACTTAGCATTTTCACTCTATGTATCTACTTATGTTTAAAAAATAAAATTTAAGGATTAAATGTACATTTTGCTTTGCTTTGGGTTTGTTGTTGTTGTTTGTTTTGGGGTTTTCTCTTTCAACACTTGGTACTGAACCCAGGGCCTATGCATAGCTAGTGCTCTACAATGAACTATATTCCCAGTCCTTTTCTTACAGGATCTAAGTTTCCCAGGCAGGACTTGAATTTACAATCCCCCTGTCTAGGTCTCCTGAGTAGCTAGGATTACTGGCCTATGCCAACAGGCCCTGCTATTAAATATGCTTTAA